GGACGTCGCGGGTGGTGGATTTCGTCGCGGCGTGGGACGCGATCTCGCCGAGATTGAGCGGACGGGACGACGAAGAGGTGGATAAGGAGATGTTGTTGAGCGCGCTGACGCTGGCGATACCGCGGTTGCAGCAGATACCGCGGGTGGGGGATGGGGGGGGGGGGGGCGCCGGCGCACGAGCGCGCGGTGGACGTGACGCTGACGCTGGCCGATTTGGGGATGGATGCCGAGTGTTTGTGCGCGGGATTGCTCAGAGAGGCCGTGGTGCACGGGACGGTGAGTCTAGATGAGATAGAGGAGACGTTGGGGGAGCGGGTGATGCGATTGGCGCACGACGTCGGACGCGTGCACGATTTACCGAAACGCGTGCACTCGTACGATGAAAACGCGGCGGAGCGCTTAAGGTCCTTCTATCTGTCGTTTCATGACGTGCGAGCAATCGTTGTCGAACTGGCGTGTAGGTTGGACGCGCTGAGAAATGCGGACGCGCTGAAACCGATGGAGAGGACGACGGTGGCGTTGGAGACGATGCAGATTTACGCCCCGATGGCGCACGCGTTGAATACCGGCTCGCTGTGCGCGGAGCTCGAGGATTTAGCGTTTAAGATCTTGTTCCCGAACTCCTACGCCAGTTTAGAGAAGTGGCTCGCGGCGAAGAGCCCAGAGGACTCGGAAATTCTTGACAAAATGACAAAGATGTTGGACGACGCCATGCAAGCCGACCCGACGATGAACGCTCTCATCGGCAGAGGAGGGGTCAGGGTCCTGGCTCGACGTAAATCGAGATACTCGACGATGAAGAAGATCATTCGAGATGGTCGAGATCGTGAGGAAGTGCACGATTTACTCGGAATGCGACTCGTTTTGACGCCGCAACCCGGGAGCGGGGCGGAGCCCCCCGTGGTGGGCACCGTGAACTCGGGAGACCTGACGTACGAGGAACTTGAAGCGAGAGCGCTCAAAGCCGCCAACGCGGCGTGCTACCGCGCGCAGCAGATCATTCACTCGATGTTTCCTCCTGTGCAAGGACGAACGAAGGATTACATCTACAATCCGAAACCAAACGGATACTCCTCGTTGCACAGCACGCTCAAGGTTGCGTTCGACGAGCTTGGGAAACCAGTCTCTTCGAGAGAGGCGCTCAAGAAAGGCGCCAACGTAGAGTTGCAAATTCGCACAGCCGCGATGCACCTTGCCGCCGAGGCGGGTAAGGCGTCGCATACGTCATACAAGGGTGGCCTGAAGGAAGACGCGGGCATGGCTGGGTATCTCGCTGAGCTCGCCTCGGCGGCGAATCACGCGGCTAAAGAAAAGTTTGGAGCCTTCACGCACGATGATTTGCGTAAACGCGACGAAAGCCACGATAAGTTGTTCGAAGCGTTCGATCTCAACGGCGATGGTCGCGTCACGCTGAGTGAGTTGCGAACGGTCTTGGCAAGCATCTGGGCGGGAGAGGAGCAGGAGGAAATGCTCAACGAGGCGCAGGCGTTGATGACGCTTCTCGACGTCGACCAAGATGGCACGATTGACTCCGTTGAATTTGCAAAATTCCGTGCGTCCGTTACGGCGATCAGCGCGTTGCCGAAGGCCGACGCGGCGACTTTGGCGGCGATCGAAGCTGTCGCGCGTGAGGTGACGGAGGAGGTGATGGACGTCGAGACGAGTGAGATTTCGGAAGTGATCGACGTCGATTCTAAGGAATTGACGACGCGCGAGAAGAGTGTCGATGATGCTGAGCTCATTGCTACCGTTCGCGACGCCGTGACGTCTAGCTACGAGTACACCGGTAAGGTTGACGGAGCGGGAAGAAAAGCCGCCAAAGCGATGCAAGATCCAGACTCTGGCAAGGTGGAGTGGCAACTGGTGTGGGACTTGATGCGAACCGGCCGAGCCGAGACCGCGCGACAGCTGTTCTACCAGCGCACGACGAGGTCTCCCGGTCAAATAGCGGTCTGGGAGCAGTGGGCACGTTTCGAGCTCCTGCAAGGCGATCCGGAGCGCGCTCGCAGTCTGTACCGAGCAGCTCTGTTGCACTGTGAAGATCGACCTCTCATTCGAGCCGAAATCCTGCGCAAGTGGGGCATGATGGAAAGCGCGTCATCCGACGCTGGCTATAAGACGTCTCACATCGACTTGTTCACGCGCGCGATTGCAGTGCTCTCCGAGGCCCAAGCCGCGGGACGCGTCGACGAAAAGGAGGCCAGAGCGGCGCAGGCGAAGACGTATCAAGTTTGGGCACAAGGTTTGGCGCGCAAGGGTAACTTCGCCGAGGCGAAGAAACTACTCGACAAGGCGAACGATATCGACGAGGGTAATGCAGCGGTTATTCACGCTCAGGGTCAGATTGAGGAGATGCTTGGGAACGTCTCGGCGGCGGTAGCCGTCTACTCCTTCGGCTCCTCCTTACATCCCAGAGACGCCTACCTACTCCAATCTTGGGCTCGTCTTGAGGCAAAAACGGGCAATTTGGATGATGCGCGCATTCTTTACGAGCGAGGCGTGGCGGCGAATCCCGATAATTACCGCATATCCCAGGCGTGGGCAGTGAGCGAGACGCAGCATCCCGATGGCGAAGCCGCCATCGCGCGAGAGCAGTTTCAGCGCGCAAGCTCGCTCGCGCCCTGGTCCGTGCAGACGTGGGCGGCGTGGGGTCGTTTCGAGTTCTACTCCCAGGACAATCCGCAAGCGGTCGAGACCGCGCACACGCTGTACGAGCGCGGCCTCGACGCCGAGCCGAGCAACATCGTTTGCCTCCTTGGACTTGCCAAGTGCGAGAGCGCGGTTGGCCGCTTCGACACAGCGCGCAGAATCCTTGCCCGCGCCGAGGCGATGCATCCAGAGAACGCGAGCGTGCATTTTGAGCGAGCCAAGGTCGAGGAAGCGGCCGGCGCCCCCGCGAAGGCGGACTATCACTTCCTCCAGGCGCGTCGCCTGAAAAAGGCGGCGAAGCGCTCCGAGGCGCCCTCGACGCGCGAGCGCGGGAAGCGATCGACGTGGGATCCCATCGACGTCTTCGAGCGTCAAGATCTCGCCTCGACCGCGATGCTCTACACCCCCGACGTCGTCGTCGAGCGCGCCGAACCGACGAGCTCGACCGACGCCGACGTCGACGCCGACGCGCCCGCGCCCCCGCGCGCGCGCCGTCGCGCGCGTCGACGCCCCTCCGACGACACCCCGTGACGTCCCGAGCACCGCACTCGCTCGCGTGTAATCAACCCCGCGCCCGTCGCGCGCCCGTCCGCGCGTCCGCCCCATCCACGAACGGTCGCGGTGATCGGGAGATACGTTCACGAGTCACGACTCACCGCGGATCCCCCAAAAACATCCTCCGGCGCGTCCACGTCACGCGCGCGAACAGTCGCATCACATACTCTCTATAGACATCCGAATACGACGCGCGCGGTGATGACGTTTTCTCCCTAGGGTTCAGCACGCCCGCGACGACGCGCGCGACGACGCGCGCGACGACGCGACGACGCGACGCCACCGCGCGACGGGCGCGGAGGAACGGGCGCGACCCCTCGTCGCGCGCGCGCGATCGCGCGCGCGTCGGTCCGCGGGACGCGCGACGCGGACGACGCGGGAGACGTGGACGGTTCGGACGATCGGAACCCACGGGACGACGCATCGCGAAACGTCGTCGAGGGATGACGGACGACGCCCGACGTCGAGGGACGCGAACGACGCCGAATGCGATCGCGGCGATCGCGGTGGACGTGGCGGTGAAGGCGTTGGGGGTCGGAGGTGGGCACGCGAGCGGGGGGGGGGAGACGATCGGATGCGACGAGCTCGAGCGGCGGGTGACGCGCCTGGCGCTGCGAAAGATGCGATCGGCGGCGGCGGTGGAGATGGGGATGGAGGCGGATGGAATCTCGGATCCGATGGATGTTGGTGAGGTTGTGGATCGATCGGGACGGTCGGACGGGACGCGCATCGATACGAGGGAAATCTTTAGCGCGTCGTCGACGGAGAACTCGCTCCACGGCGGTCGGCGATTCGCGCGATTGCCGAGAGTGGACTCGTTCGAGGGAGAGATCAAGTTTGATTCGGTCTTGCCGTCTTTGGACGCGGAAATATCGAGTGAAGACGACGGTCGACGCGCGCCGACGCCCGGGAAGACGCGGTCGTGGTTGAAGGAAGCTGATCAAGCGCTCCCGGAGGAGGCGGAGACGACGAGAAGTTTGCGAACTTCGGAGAACGCGTTGCTGCAGTCACCGAAGCGAAACGGATCGATGACGTTCGTCACGGCAGATGATGATGACACGCGATTGCGATTGGTAACGACGCCAAAAACGCTCGCTCCTAGACCTCGCCGTCCGGACTCTCCTTCAAGCTCTCCACATAATACGTTCGCAGAGGGTTCGCAGGGCATCAGTCGCAGCACGTCCATCAGCTCCTTTGCTTCGGCGTTCTCACCGCTATCGCGAGCGGCATCAAAGGGAGATTTCAGTTAGTATCGACGCATGAGGAATAGAAAGCCTAAGCATTCCGCTATACGAAAGATGTATATTCAACAAACGCAATGTGCCCGTCGTTTCATCGTTCTAGGTGCAATCTACAAGCAGGGTGGCGCCCTACAGAAGTAAAACCCTCGAGATAGGCGCCGCACGCAAGCCAGCGAAGCGAACGTGACCGCGGACTCGCTGCTGCACGACGCCTTTCCTCGCTCGTGGCTTCACCGTGACGCCTCGTCTCTGAACACCCACCAAGGAGGCGGCGACAGTCTCGTTCGCCTTCTCCTTCTTCACGTCAAACTTGTCGGCAGCGACGTGCACGTTCTTGACAGCCCGACCAGAGATGTCTCCGACACTCTTTTCCCACTCCGGATCCCACGAAACCGCCTCCGGGGTTGAGCACGCGATGGACTTGCCGAACGGGCATGTCGCGTACGCGCAGTCCCCATTCTCGAACCCAGTCACAAAGTGCTCTTCGAAAATCGATCGAAGCAAGTAGTACTCCTTCGTCGTCGGCGGGTGCAGCGGGAAACGCTCGGCGCGCTTCGCAAACATTTCGTCACTGACTTCGAGTTCAGCGTGTGCCGCCAAACCGTCGACCCAGTCGTACCCAACGCCATCGCTGAACTGCTCCTTCTGACGCCAAAGAACCTCTTGCGGAAGATACGGATCCTCAGGCGTATCGAACGCCTTGCGGAGAATATACTTTTCCAGGAATGGATGACCATCTGCATCTTTTTTGTTGACGTCGATCATTTTATCCTCAGGACGCATGTTCATCGCCATGTCGATGACTTGCTGGGACAAGAGTGGAGTGCGAACTTCGATACCCCAGCTCATCGTAGACTTGTTCGCGCGCAACACATCCCATTGGTGCAAACGCATGGTCTTACGACGGCATTCAGCATGGAACTCGGTCGGGTTCGGCGCCTTGTGGAAGTACAAGTAGCCACCAAAGAGCTCGTCGGCGCCCTCGCCCGAGAGGACCATCTTGAAACCTAAGGACTTGATGTGACGGCTCAGTAGGTACATGGGCACCGACGCACGAACTTGCTCGAACGTTTCAAGGTGCCAAATGACGTCCGGCAGTGCGTCGAGCGCTTCCTCGGGAGTAAAGTGCACCTCGTGGTGGATCGTGCCGAGCTGTTCGGCCACCTTGCGCGCGGCGACGAGATCCGGCGCCCCCTTGATACCGATGGAGAACGAGTGCACGGGCTCATCAGCTCCGTACGTGTTCTTGGCTAACTTGCGCTGACGCACCGCGATGGAGGTGATTAACGATGAATCAAGCCCACCGGACAGGAGCACGGCGTACGGGACGTCCGCCATGAGACGCTTTGTGACGGCGTCAACGACGCACTCGCGAAGCGCCGGTAAGTCCGCCGGAGTCGTCGGCACGTAGCTCTCCTCGGCGATCCATTGAGGATTGAACCAGCGCTCGATCGTGGCCGGTTCATCACCCTTCTTGACGTACACGTGACCTGGCGGAAAGATTTCGTAGCTCGCCACCCCTGGGTCGTCGTGCAACGTCTTCATCTCGCTGCTGAACCAAACGCTCCCATCCTTACCGTTGGCCATGTACATCGGGATCTTCCCCATATGATCTCTCGCCGCGACGATGACGTCGTTCTCCCGATCCTCGATCACGAACGCGAACATCCCATCGAGCTCGCTCACGAAGCCCGGCCCGTGCTGCTCGTACAGGTGACCGATGACTTGGCAATCGCTCTTATTCTCGCTCACGATCCCGTACTTCTCCCTGAGCTCGGCGTGATTATAAATTTCTCCGTTCGCGATGAACGTCGTCTTCCTCGACGCATCCGTGTACAGCGGCTGATCACCGCTCTTCCCCGGAGCGACGATGCTCAGGCGCTTGTGCACCATGAAGGTTTGCGCGCCGCTTCGCTCGTCCACTCGAACCTCCATTCCGTACGAATCCGGCCCCCGATGCCGCAGCCGCTTCGCCAGGTCATACACGCGTCGGCGGTTCTTCCTGGCGTCGCCCGTGAGCCGTAAAACGGCAAAGATCCCGCACATGTCCAGCGATGCGCGTCGACCGGAAAAAGCCCTGTTCCTCGAACGCCCCGTGCGCGTGGGAAATCTCCGTCGCGTCCACGCGCCGGTCCTTCGACGCGCCCGCGACGACGCGCGCTCGACGACGTCGACCGCGCGCGCGCGGAGAGACCTCGGACGACCCCACGAGCGCGCGCGGCGGCGTCGACGGGGGGGCGAATGTGTGGATAACCAAACAAACCCGCCGCCGCGAGGGGGCGCGAGGGGCGGTCGACGCGATCGGTGTGCGTATTACACGTGTGAGAGAGCCATGTGTGGGAGAAACATGCGTGCGTGGCGTCTGCGTCGTGAGTCGTGAGTCGTGACGTCGTGAGTCGGGAGTCCATCTTGGGTAAGCAAAGCTTCTTAGCATGTGTGGACAAATAAGTCACCCCAAGCCACACATTTTTTGCACCATACGTCAGTGGGATTCGCTCGTCCGGTCACCACTCGCGTCGGCGGCGACGCGCGACGGCGCGGCGTCGGGGGACGATGCGAACGCGAGCCGATGGATCCGAGGGAACGACAGAGCCTGAGACGACCGAGGGAGGTGTGCGCGCGACGACCGAGAAAGATGCAGCGGCGGCGACCGATCAAGAGCAATCGACCGCTCGCGTCGTTTCGTTTTCCACGACGACGGACGGACCAGGAAGGCGTAAACGCCCTCGTCCGTTCTTTCACGAGGACGGGACCTCCGTCACCGGAAATGAGTACAAGCTGGCGAGGCGCTGCTTCGAAAACCGCCGCGACAGACTCGTCCGGGAATTCCAGGATCTCGCGAAATCGTATCCGACGAGCGATGCGTTTCTCTATTTCGGGCGACCCGATAAGACGACATCGGCGACGAGATCGCGCGTGAACAAGCTCTACACGAGTGGAGAAATTTGGAAATTACCGCTGTCTAACGAAGACGAGGCCCGTACACTCCGCGACGAGTTCACTGAAACGGTGGCGAAGTTGTTGGGGAAGACGATGACGACACTCCACACGGGCGACGCGCACGCGAGGCCACCGACGGTCAACGTTCTGGATGAGATGCTCGAAGGTGTCATGGGAATTGCGCGCAACGTTGTCGACCAGATTGTCGACGATCTGGAGCCGCGATTGGCGCATCTGCTTGTAGATTCTACAGCGGCAAAGATGACGCTCACGAGACCAAGCGCCGCGATGAAGCGGAAGATGACGACTCCGTCACGGATAGAGCGTGGCGAATCGGCGCCTGTGACGCTGCACACGTCGGACATTTACGCGGAAGCGCCATCGTCCCACTTTGTTCGGGATTTCGGCGACTACTAGTGATGAGCGGACGGCTACTCGCGCTTCTTGAAAAGAATCACAACACTCAAACGAACGCGCTCAACGCTCGACGCGAGCGCGCTGACGCCACCTGCTTCGCGTTTCACGATCGATAAAAATATCCACAGTGTACCCACCGCGTTCGGTGTGGCAGATCGACCCGCGTCGCGACGCGTGCTGCGACGAGAAGATGCGATGGCTGCGTCGAAGCTCGGCTCCAAAGATGCATCCACACGCCCAACCGTCGGCTCAACGCTCGACGCGAGCGCGCTGACGCCACCTGCTTCGCGTTTCACGATCGATAAAATACCCACAGTGCACCCACCGCGTTCGATGCGGCAGATCGACCCGCGTCGCGACGCGTGCTGCGACGAGAAGATGCGATGGCTGCGTCGAAGCTCGGCTCCAAAAATGCATCCACACGCCCAACCGTCGGCTCAACGCTCGACGCGAGCGCGCTGACACCATCTTCTGTACGTTTCACGATCGATAAAAATATCCACAGTGTACCCACCGCGTTCGATGCGGCAGATCGACCCGCGTCGCGACGCGTGCTGCGACGAGAAGATGCGATGGCTGCGTCGAAGCTCGGCTCCAAAAATGCATCCACACGCCCAACCGTCGGCTCAACGCTCGACGCGAGCGCGCTGACGCCACCTGCTTCGCGTTTCACGATCGATAAAATACCCACAGTGCACCCACCGCGTTCGATGCGGCAGATCGACCCGCGTCGCGACGCGTGCTGCGACGAGAAGATGCGATGGCTGCGTCGAAGCTCGGCTCCAAAAATGCATCCACACGCCCAACCGTCGGCTCAACGCTCGACGCGAGCGCGCTGACACCATCTTCTGTACGTTTCACGACCGATAGAAATATCCACAGTGTACCCACCGCGTTCGATGCGGCAGATCGACCCGCGTCGCGACGCGTGCTGCGACGAGAAGATGCGATGGCTGCGTCGAAGCTCGGCTCCAAAAATGCATCCACACGCCCAACCGTCGGCTCAACGCTCGACGCGAGCGCGCTGACACCATCTTCTTTACGTTTCACGATCGATAGAAATATCCACAGTGTACCCACCGCGTTCGATGCGGCAGATCGACCCGCGTCGCGACGCGTGCTGCGACGAGAAGATGCGATGGCTGCGTCGAAGCTCGGCTCCAAAAATGCATCCACACGCCCAACCGTCGACTCAACGCTCGACGCGAGCGCGCTGACACCATCTTCTTTACGTTTCACGACCGAGAATAATATCCACAGTGCACCCACCGCGTTCGGTGTGGCAGATCGACCCGCGTCGCGACGCGTGCTGCGACGAGAAGATGTGATGATCGGCCTGCAAGACAACTTTACCTTCAACTCTCGCCCAGATGCTGCGGAAACGTCTCGCCACACCACCACGTGTCCCCGTTTCGACGTGCCCTTCGACGAAATGAAACGATTGGCGACGCGTCCAATCAGTGGGAAGGCCGCTTGGTCGCACCACGCCGCGTCGAGCTCGCCTTTCGTCGAACCTTGTACCTTTCAAAATAACCGACGATGCGTAACTAAAAATGAAAGGAGTATCCACCTATCGGATTTGAAAGGCACTTCTAGTTTCAACTGAAAATCGATCGGTGACGAAAAGGAAACGAGTTTCCACCTATCGGATTTGAAAGGCACTTCTAGTTTCAACTGAAAATCGATCGGTGACGAAAGGGCGGCAACCAGCGGAAATGACCTGGAACACGCCTTCATTCCATGGCACCCTTTCTGCGGTCGATACGACGCCCGCATCACCCAATGTGATCGGAATCGCGTGTATGAATGCGTTGCGCGTCGACTCCACGATGATGGCGCGCGGCTTCGTCCAGCCGCGCGATGCGAGCCGACGAAAACATAAATTCACTCATGTATCACACCAACGATTCGCGCCGCTGGACGCCGATTCAGGCGACCTCATATCGCTAGGAGGTTCGTAATCGCAAATCAAAAGAACTGGCGCGTGGTTCATGGCGCTTTCCAGAGGGACGACGCACGGGCATGGTCACGGAGAGAAGGAATAGGTGAGAAGTTTCCCAAAACCAAGGTGCTCGCAACATTTTCGCGAGGTTTCGACGCGACGTCGGGATTTGGTGTGCGCCCCGGCGCATCACATCGTGGTTTGAAACGGATTGACGTACGTCTGCGCCGTTTTTGCATCCAAAATCGACCAGATGGCAAAAACTGTTTTTAGACGTGCATCGTTAACGTACACGTCTACGATGTTGGTTTCCAGTCTAATCGGTCGTGCCCGGCGACGGAAACGCGAGAAGACTGCCTCAAGGCGCATTGGTGCGTAATAAAATGTTATGATGGATCGATTTGGCCCGTTTCCCGGCGACTTTGCCGCGACGTCGAAAATTTTGCTTCCCAGGACTACCGGTTTCCCGTGGCTGTGCACTACCTTCCAAGCCTCTACGGGAACATAGGTTCGAGAGTCGACTTCGTCCAAACGCCGCAAAATGCGGCTCCGAGGTCGTATGCAATGTGTAAACACCATTCCATGCACGAAAACGCGAGCCCGACGTCGAACGCGACTGGCCTGGACGCTTTTGTCTCGCATCCTACCTTTGTGGCCTCTACGATAAAGACGACACTTTTATGAACACTCACAGAGCGGCGGCCGCGCAACCGAATCACATCAAACCACGTCATAGAGTAAAACAGTACAACAACTAGGCTATTTGCCGTGGCAACACCGCGCATCGAACGTCTCGTCGACG